TCAAAGTTGAGACGATATTCTGTGCGTTCATTTTATTTTCACGTGAAATTATAAGAGATCGTTTAACTGAACGGATACTTCTCACATTTCAGTACCGCATTTCGCGTTGACTGTTTTATTTTCAACTTACACTTCGATGTGAGATTAAATATTACAAATAGTTTTAGAAACTATTCTTCTCAAGCGTATTATGCTATCGGTTTCCCCAGTGTACTGAATCATTCATCTTTCATTCCTCGAATATTATCTTTTCACTACATTTCGGACATAGCTTTCTTTTCTATCACAATCTATCGAAGCTGGATTGTGTCAAGTATGCCACAAACAAGTACTGAATGCGTTTGATGAGTTAAAAAACAGAACGAAAAGAAAAAAAACACGAATTTTCTGTACGGAAATGTGTACAGAGAAAAATCGGTTTTTCGCTGTTTTTTTAGTTCTCGGCCTAAAAAACTCGCTCAAAACCTCACAAAGAGCCTTGAAAAGAGGTATTTTGTTGGTTTTGCGATGTGCTCTTTCATATGGACAGATCAAAAAATTTTTTTGGTGCAAATGATTTTTCGGCCTAAAAACCAAGATCTTTGAAAAACGGGGCTTTAAGGTGAAAGCGGGCAAAAACCATTATGATATTCGGAATCAGCATGTTCGATTACCCCTTGTCAACTAAGTCAAAGCTCAAAAGCGAGGGATCAGTCGGTGGCCTTCCCTCGTCAGTCTCTGTCGATCTTCTCTTCTCTCTCCTGTGCACTTGTTCCCTCATCGTCGCTCGCTCACTTACTGTCGCTGGATCTGTCTCTGCTGTCCCTTACCCTCCTCCTCCACCCACCCAGATACTCTTACTGGCTGCCGTACACTCGCTCACTGATTTATTCACTCACCCTGATTGAACCTTACTCTAACGAACACCCTCAACCCTTAGATGCTGACTGGAGGGGTGCGAGTCACCGCGATCGAAAAGAAATTATCGATAACCCAGGTCTTGCAACTGCCTCTTTCTCCTTGCCCTCTGTCTTTCCCTCTCTCTCCCGTTCTCTGTTCCTTCGCTCTCGTTGGGCCATCACTCTTTCCATCTATCCTGTGTCTCCCTGAATCACGTCTCCTCTCGCTCTGCCGTCATCCATCTACTCTCATTTTCTCTCTCGCTGTCCTTCACTGCCTCACCTGTTCATTGAGTCGCCATAGTTCAACAGTTCAACGACGGACTACGCTAGAGAAAATGTGTTCACCTATGTGTTTTTTTTGACCTGATACACACAAACAGACAAACCGACAAACTTTTTTTTGATGAGACCCTCCGTACAGTCGAGGGAACTAATTTCTTTTTTCCTCGATACTCTCATCCCTCCTCTACTTCTCTATAATCTCTTAGTCTCTATCGATCTCCTTTTCTCTTTCCTCTATTCTTGCCTCCTGATTCTCTCTAGCTCACTTACTCTTACTCAATTTGCCTCTCCTATCCCTTGCGCTCCTCTTCTACCCATTCACACTCTCTCACTCGCCACCATACACTCACTCATTGATTTATTCACTCATCCTAACTCGACCTCACCCCTAATCCTCAACCTCAACCCTCGGATGATAACCAGTGGGGTGTATTCCATCGCATTTGTGAGGAAATCATCGGAAACCTCTAGGTAGCCGTCGCCCGGGCCCCTAAACTCGGCTTGCTTATCGAGAAAACTCGCCTTGATTATTCAGATATGATCCTCGCCGGACCGAGAGGATGCTTGTTTTGAGTTTGACCTCTGATTCTCACGGAATACTTTCATACAACCTCTTCCTCTCAAAACCTCATGTCTTCCTTTGACCCTTGACTTTTGACCTGACACAAACAGAAAAACTATTTTTTCCATAAGACTCTCCCTACAGTCGAGGAAATATAAAAATTTCAGCCAAATTCGAGACATCGTTTCATTCGAAGTCTCCAAGTGTTTCTCATTTTCTCAGATACTCGCTCTTAAGCTTTTTTAGCCTCCGTAAAACCCCTTCTTCAGAAAAGAGAATAGACCGTTCAGCAATACCAGTTAGCCACCATGATCAACCGTCAGAACAATCATCTAATTGAATTGATCTTGTGTTGTGTAGGACAGCAACAACGATATTTCTATTCTGGAAAGCAGAAGTATTACTGTCTGATATCTTTGTACGTTATTGATACTAATCGTCGATTAATCTTTTTTGCTGCTGGATTTTCTGGTTCATGGCACGACTCCCGGGTATTCAAATTGATGAATTCCCAAAACAAACCGATACCACCGTTAACCTTCACCAATGGAGATAGAGATTTTGCGAATAAACCACCGATTCTGACGCTCTTCCGACGAAATGAACTTAGAGGTGCGAACGTGACTAACTTTCAACGATGTATATCCAACGCTACTCTCTCTTCATATCGAGTCTATGTTGAACACGTCACTCACGAATTCAAATTGTTTAAAGTATTATTAACAGTATTTCGCCACGAATCGTTCAACAAAACGTTCTATCAATCAGTGTTGTGCTGCACTAGCAAACAAACGTTGCCAAGATTTTTATGTAACATCTCTTACTTGAAATAAACTTAGCACAGATTTGGTGGGGCTCATGGACTCGATAGAACCATTATGGTCTACTGATTCACTAAAAGTCACTGATAGTCACTAGGAGTCATCGTTTGTCACGAGGATTCACTCTCACCATGGCCATACCACGGCTGTCACGCACAAATAGCTACATGTAGTCATAAAAAGTCATCGCTTGTCACTGCAGTTCAGACCCGATGGCTGTCGATTCATTCACCCTTCTCTTTCCTTGTGCGGCAGAAAGAGAAATGAACAGACTATCTCTCTTCTGCATGGCTTATATTGTACAAGACGATTGTTATTGTTGTTGGCGGCGGCTCCCACTGCATTGTTACTATTCCCCTGTAATAAAGGGCCACGATTATACTTACGCTTACCACGAAATAACGATTCATCTATTTGTACAACTTCACCAATATCACCCATTTGCGGAGCATCATTCAGCTTCTCTTGACACACCTAGATTATATAGACCATAGTAGAAACAAGCTAGATAAATCCATCAGTAATGAAAAAAATGTGTTCTTTCGAACACTTACTTGATTACGACATTGTCTATTAGTACACCGCATTGTTGGATAGATCTTTACAGTACCATCTTTGAGCGTCTTCTTTCTTGTACCATCGACCATTGGTGAGCCACAGTAGCATGTATGTTCTTCACTTTTCTGAGCCAAATTTTGATCACAAACAAATTGAGACAGTAAATCATCATCATTTAATATTTTGTAAAATTCGCGGTTGTCGGTAGGAATAGCCATGGTTGTTGTGAAAAGTTGTCGAGATAAGATATGTCGCAAATCTCCTTCCTTTTATGGTATAGCTCATACCGTATTTTTCAGTGATGAGATTAGTTGAGCGGATCAAGTAATCGAACGATCTTAGCTGTCTTATGTACTATATCATTATCAGCCTTTTAACTTATCTCAATCGATATTCTTTTAGCTCCTTTGATTTATTAGTATTTGCTTTAATCACATTAGAAAAGACTAGAAACGGAATATTCTTCTTCATGTGAGTGATTTAAACGGTTTAACTTTTCTTGTTCTAAAGTTTTCTAAATATTTTTCTCCAGAGATGGAACACTAGGAAGAAGTGGAACACTTTTTTGCTACGAGGACCACCAGCTATAATGTTACCGTACTTTCTCGGTGGAACACCTGCTATAGGAAAACCGAAAGAAAGTTGTATTATTGACGACATAAGCCTAAGCAATTGATATCGCAGATCTGATAATAATTTCTAATGTTGGTTTTATCAGGGTTTAACTTTGTCTCTATATTTAGGCTCAATTCAGTGAATTCAATGGAATTCATGACGGATGAATTAGAAAATGATTCAAAGTTTCAGTAGCGCAAAATCGACATTTTATACGGAGGACAGAATCGGCTCAAATTTTTTTTCTGGAGAGCTTATTATATGAATCGACGGTCAGCAAAGTATCTCTTGATTCA